AAGGTACAATGGCTGGATTTGTATATAATGCTGAACCAGAAACCATATGTTACAGGTAGCAACAACTGAATTCATACAGCATACCAAGATAAACCAAATTTAGCACATCAGTAACATTTCTGCTCTATATTAATTTAAACACTACGTTCAGAAGGAATATAGTAATTACATGCAATAGTGCAATAATATATTAAATTATGGATTAGATGTTCTGTAAAAAAATTGTAAACATTCATTCATCTCAAATATTAAAGAAATTGAATGGCATGTCAAATTCTGTAATGCCTTATGTTTCTTTCCAGAAAATAATCTTTTATATCCTATTCTAAGAGATTGGAATATTGTATAAATATAACTATAGTATCAGAGACGTCTTCTGACTTATAGTACCTGTGCAAAATATTGGAAAACAAGTTTTAATCACATGCAGTCTAGATGGTTCAAAAGAACTTGAGTCCTAATAAACTACTCTACTCAGAAATAAGTGTCAGTAATTTATTTAAGAAGAATCCTATTAACATTTCCTTCTAAGTAGACCTATGTCTATTAGGTCTCAAGTTCATACAAGTGAGCATAAGATCACAGTCTTAGGGCTCTTTCTCATGGCCACGTTCACATGCTATTTTCTAGTCCCTCAATCAGGAGAAAAGTATGCTGGTATAAGTGCACTTCACCAAAATTGGAGGCTTCTGCTGCTTCATTAATCAGGCTGCAGAATGTTGCTGTCCTTGTAGGTTTAATATGGGTATAGGAGAATTTTCAGGAGTTCATTTAGGACCAGAGACAACTATACAATTCCACTGAAGGACGAATTGATTTATTTCAGTACCAGAGGCAATAGACAAGCCTAAAGTGGGTGAATTTATGCAAACTGCAATATACATTTAATCAGTATAGCAAATTCTTGATAGGGTTATGGCATGTGCATGTTAATGAAATCAGAATGGTGAGATAATGGGGATTAATACAATAGCTTCCTTGAGTTGAACAAAGGGGTCTAAGACGGGTCTAACGTCTGCTAAGATGTTTCCCCTAGGTGTTAATAAACGCCCTTGCTTGCCAGAGTGTCTACTATTCTGTAATATATGAATCAACATTCCTTTATGTCTAACTGGTTTATGGATGAGTTGACAGTGTACTTTCCTTAGGAAAGTGTATTTGGAGAGGGGGTCTTTTACTTGCCTAACTTGATGTCATATTTTCTCTTTCATGGGTAAATTAAGAAAAGGCCTGGGTTAGGGAGTGTGTTGGGACCCTTTTGGGAGTAGAGGGGTTGAGGGTTGTTTTTATTGCTTTCTTGGAATATCTGTCTTTTCTATTGGTTATGTCATGATTTTATGGTTTTTAGTATTGTGTGCTACCCAGAGTCATTATGGAGTTGGGTGGCTTTAGAAATGTGCCAAATAAGTAAATAAGTAAAGTATTACAAAGAAATGGATGTGCTGGCAGCAAGTAGCCATGGTCTGCAGCTCCTGGAAGTAGCCTGCCCTCTCCAAGTAATAAAACAGCAGATAGTATAGCCACACAAAACCCTTTGTCAGAAAAAACAACAGAAAACCTATAATGCACTCACTGACAGGATCAGCTACAGGCAGTCCTTGGGTTACAAACACTCGTTCAGCAACCGTTCAAAATTACGATGGCACTGAACAAGGGGGACTTATGACCGGTCCTTGAAGTTGCAGCAGTTGCAGCATCCCCACAGTCATGTATTCAGGCATGTGGCAACCGGCTTGCAATTACAACAGTTGCAGCGTCCCATGGTCATGTGATTGCCATTTTCGATCTTTCCTGCTGGTTTCCCACAAGCAGAGTCAATGGGGAAGCCAGCAGAAAGTGCAAGTCACTTCCACAAGTTGCTCCTGCTCCCGCCACTTTTTTGCCCAACCACCTGTGCTCCGTAGTGTCTGCCTGCGGCACCCACCTACCCACGTTCCATAGCCTGTCTGCAGCACCTACCCACCCACACTCCATAGTGCCCACTTGCAGCGCCTGCCAGCCCGCAGCTCTCGCCTGCTAGCCTGCTTGTCTGGGGCTCCCGCTTCTTCCCATGTTACGGTCACATGAGGTCTTTGCTTAATGATGTGCACGGTCCTGGGGTTATGACGGCAACTGGGACTGCCAGGACTGCCCTTGCTAAGTGATGCAGTCATGTGACATTGCACTTTACAACTGCATCGCTTAGTGATGGAAATTTGTGGTCCCAATTGCTGTTATAACCTGAGGACTACCTGTATATCCAGCTGGCCTTATGTGCAGCACAGACTTGGCATTCTGAAGTGATCCTGCCTAAGACTTGACAAGTGCTTTGAAAGGGCCAGGCAAACATTATGTGGGCAGATACTCTGTGGAAGTCAGGCATCCAGTGTCTCCTGCAGCCCAAGTCAGAATGGCCGTGGAGAGCACCACTGTAATATGAATTTAAGTTGCTTCTACTGTGGGTAGGGATGATAAAGAAGCCATGAGGCCATGTCATTTCAAAACAGTTGGCAATGGTTGGAGTAACGTAATGATGAGTCCTTGTACTAAATTAACTGCATTTCAAAATCACATAGAGACTTTTTCAAGAAAAGTATGAAGCACTGAAAATGTATTAAATATATTTTAAAAGGTTAAAATGTGTGTATGTTGTTATAAAACATAATATTAACTTTTCTTCTTTTTTGGATATAAATTCTAGAAGATGCAAATACCAGTATGCAAATATTTATATAAAAATGCTGCAATTTCCTACAGTTTAATGCAGGGTTATTATAATATTTTGTAAAGAAAGGACCATCTAAAGCATGAACCAAAATCTTATGGCCAAAAAATATCAGAGTCAATAATAATAAAATCCTTTATAGTTGTATCAGGTACACATTACACCTAGGTAATACGTTGAATATGCATAAGAGATGCATATTAATGTATATTACAACGTTTAGCATAATTAACTAACAAAATGTATTGATACTGGTAGTGTTTGAAGAGTTTAAAACAAATGAATTGCATTTATTATTACAATAGTTCTATACTGTAGACTCCACACAGACGCAGATCAACTTATATAAATCTCAAGTAAAATCATTCAAATCACAGTATAAAATAACCCACACTCCCAATAAATTATAAAAACCTTCCCATAGTGACTACTTCCAGAAACCATGCAGAAATGTGCTCTCTAGAACAATTTCATTTGGACTGCCTTCCTAAAAATCCTAGGGAAGGTACCAGCCGGATCTCTGGAGGATGGTGGTTCCATAGGGATGGAGCATGTAACGAGAAACATTGTTTTCCAACCATCCTCTCTGGATCTCACATAGTATTATCCCTAATCTGGGTCACAGATCTTCCTGGCAAGTAAATAAACTGCTTCCCACACAGCTGTACATCCAGCGTTTCCAATATTTTTCCTTGAATATGCAGTAGTTCAAGCTGGAGGTGACAAGGGCACGAGTAACTGTAGCCAGGGCCTCTAGTTCCAGGGGCCTGCTAGTGGGCAATTCAAAAAGCACAGAATAAGGGATAGGATTTTAAAAGAATTTGCTATATATACCTGCTATATATATATATATGTTACTGTATATGGAAATCCTTCTCAAAGTCTTGTCACCATCCAAGATGAAATAGGTTTTGTATAATGGAGTCTAAGCTAGCACTCTTTTCTTTTCAGTGTCATGTAAAAACATCTTATTTCCAAACATTTTTAGTTTTTCATTTGGTTGTGTTTGCTATATTATGCAGATGTTGATTTAAAATTCTTTCTTTATAATTCTGTGATATATTATTGAAAACCAAGTGGATAAGAAACTATTAAAAATAAAATAAAGGGATCTTTTTCAGAAATGTTATCACAGGCATCATCAAATAGCATTCTTGAACTATGCAATATCTATTCAAAAACAAAAAAAACAGAAGATGCTTGTGCTTGAAGAGGCAAGATGGTGGTTTTCTAGCTAAAGCAGCTGAAGCTGTACTGTGTGGACAATTTCCAACAAATGTTTGCTAAGATACTAGCAGAGCTGATTAATAATACCTATATAATCCATCCAGAAAGCACAATTCTTATGAGAACCTTATTTCTAAATCTAGCACTTGGGGAAAGCTTTTTTTAAAAAAAATATATTGAGGTCAGCTTTCACATTCTCTTTAACTTTCAACAAGAGATTCCTTAAGTCTTCCTTACTTCCAGCCACCATATCTGAGGTTGAAGTTTCTATTTCTTCTAATCCAGTATTTCTCATGATATATTCTGCTTCCAAGTTAAATAAATAAGTTAAATAAATGACAGTATACAACCTTGGCACATTTTTCTTTTTGCAATTTTGAACTATTCAGTTGTTCCATATTCCATTCTAATGCTTGCATCATAGTCATCCTACACATTCTTTTATACCCAATGATATACCCAATTCTATACCTAATACACCTATTTTTAAGAGCTATTGTAATCTGTTGCAATTTATATTGTCAAAGCCTTTATACAATCAATAGTGCAAAAATAGATGTCTTTTTAAATCAACTTTACTTTTTCCATTTTCCACTGGATGTTAGCAATGTAATCATGGGTGCCCTTGCTTCTTCTGCATCCAGCTTGTGTATCTTGCAGTTTCTGTTTCATGTACTGTTGAAGTTTGGATTGCAAGATCTTGAACATTATCCTGCTGGCATGTGAGATAAGTACAATTCTTCAGTAGGATTTTTAGCACTGTTCTTTTTTGGTATTGGAATATAAATTGATATTTTCCAGTTGCTTGGTCACTGCTATATTTTATATATCTGCTTACAAACTTCAAGAAGCACTTCAACTGCATCATCCTGTAAGATTTTAAATAGTTCTGCTGGTTTTTCATCAACTCCTGCAGTTTTGTTGTTAATAATATTTCCTAAGGCCTATGTAACTTAAGTTCTCAGAATATCCGGCTGTAGTTCACTGATTAAGCCTTTATAGTGTATGTATCATTGATTTGCAATCTTTTCTGTTCAGTTCTTTTGTATATTCGTGCTGTGTATTCTTTACAGTATATTTTTCTCCAGTAGATCTTTGTCTCATTTGTCTATACTGTGTCTATATTTGCATAAAAGGGTCCCTTGAAGGAAACACATTTTATAAAAGACCATCCCTGAAATGTCCTTTTAAGTCAGAAAAATGGAAAATGCAAAGCAGAGTTATTGGTGCCCTAGATCTGGTGTGCTTTCCTTGACAATTTTGCAGCTCTGTCAGATTCTCATTTTTCTGATTCTTTCTCCCATAAAATGCATTTAAACTTTTTTCAGTATCTGTTTTATCACCATCATCATTATTCTAGGGCTGCTTTAGAAATCAGTGATGTTTGCCATTATTCTTCGTTCTGACGGTAGAGAGGCCTGAGTTAGGCACCAGCTGTACAGGAAGCTTCATCTCTCACACCTGCAAGCATTTTCCCTTGTCATCAACACTTCCATTGTTTCTAATGAGCATATTTATCCTTGATTATTGACAGCAATAGTGGCAATATACAGGAAATGTTTCAGTTTATTGAGAATCTTGATAAACTATATATTGACAGAACTGGTGGAGGTGTTACCAGGGGAAGGAAAGCAACTTTAGTGTAAACATATGGAGAACTGGACTCAAGTTCTGAATTTTATATGCCACAGGCTCATAAAATATGCATTTCAGATTAAGTTCCACTGCTAGTTTTTCTTTGAAATTCCATGGACATGGTTGGGATGGTATTAGAAGGGATGCAGTCAATTCCTGTTGCTGCAACTTTTATCCCTCATGGCACGTAGAAGAGCTTTGAAAATTCATATATCAGTCTCAAAACAGCTTCAGGAATATGAGGAAAGATGATGTTTCTTCCAATAAGCCCTTCATCCCCAATGGTAGTCTACTTAGATTATTTCAGGGCAGTTTTGAATACTAGCAGTCAAAAAACATTACACAACGATTGTCTTTTTCTCAATTGTTTTTATTGTGATAAGAATAATGATGGAAGAAGTTGGGGGAGGGAACTGCTAGTGTTAGAAGACATCTGGATCCCCTCTGAAATGTGAATAAAGCCCAGAAGTACTTAAAACGATAAGGCAGGGCCTTTTCTCAAACTGCATAATTTTACTACTCTTCACAGGAATTAATCCTTTTCTAAAACAAAAGAAATGGATGGACTAGAGTGCTGGCTAAGCTTGATCCCACTGGTCACAATTAGAAATTAAGTATTCCCTAAATTACATCCCAGTTTGTAATGTACGTAAAGCCTCTTTCGAGTTCAGCTTGATCCTTGTGACTTCATGGATGCATCCATGTGGTTTGTCATTGTCTTCTGCTGAGTTGTTTTTTCAATTTCCATTCTAGCCTACAACCCTGATATTTTCTGGTAGTCTCCCATCCAACTAACAAGGGTAGGACCCTGTTTCCCAGAGTTGGCTGGCGCTGCCAGATTGCCTTAAATGTGGTGTTTCACTACATTTAATAGCATCTGTGATAAAGCTGTCATTACTGGTAGATTTGTGCCCATTATCTCCAAATTAATGTGTTTTCAACTTTATTTTTTGTTAACTCTTTCTTCCTAGTTTTAATTCCCAAGCCACACATGGATTTCCATTTACTCTTAATATTGAGGTAGAGTGTGTAGGTAAATGAAGTTGTCAGGACATGAATTAATTCCTCTATTATCATGAATAGACTTTTACTCCTAGTGGGATAGAGAATACGAGGATTTTCAGTTTAATGTATATTTATTCAAAGATAAGGCCTGCTACCCTGTCCAGCATCTATAAAATATTTTGCATACTGCCCGGAGAACTCCTATTGTTCTGAGGTACATAAGGACATTTTATGTTTAGGATTCTAGCTTAAAGATGGTTTAAGGGGAATAGCAGAACAAAAGCAAACCAAAAAGCCCAACCGACACTCGCAGCTGGTAATGGCGTCAGGTGGAAGAGAACTGAGAAATTATTTCTGAAATGAACGGAAAGCCAAAGCGATTGTTAACGCTTCGGTCTCCTTTACGCACTCGACAAAGTCGCCGAAAGCGCCGCTGTCCTAATTCTCCTGAACGCACGCTGTTTCTATGCACAAGCCATTGGGTTTACCAGAAAAAAACGACAAGTCCCAGCATCCCCTACAGAGAAAAGCCTGTACCACGTGGGAAGAGAAGGGGGGGGAACCATATTTTCCGCCAATTAAAATTGTCGCGCTGCCCAGGAAGCCGGTAAGTGCGGCAGGCGGGGTGGAGGGGGTCGCTCTGACTTTGCTGGAGATGCCTTGCGGGACGGATGACGGGGGAAGAGGAAGAGGAGCAGGCGCCTTTGAAATTATTCCTGCCTTTGTGGAATTTAGAACGT